TATGTTACTAAATGAATATAATTGTTTGATAATAATTGTTTATTATTATCCCAATTATTATATATAAAAATATAATAAAATAATGGAGTAATTTTGACTCCGCCCCCCCATACCCACCATACTGCGGTGTGTCACGTGATAAGCATGCCGCGTCGCCATGGAAACAAGGCGAAACATTCTATAATAACAGTTGCCTAAAGAAACTCACGCTGGTCGGGTCAGCTGGAATATTTTAATCTCACGTGTGAAAAGGTTAAACCATTGCTTCTGGACAAAATACAAGTCAATAATCCAAAATAACACTTCCTCCAATGGAAAAAGTCCACTCACATCAAAATCCACTGACATTTTAGAACTGCTTTAGACTGTTTTTGCTTGTAAACGTTGCTTGATCTGTGCATATTTCTCTCCTGATTCTGACGAGATGTCTTTTTCACTGGAGAAAGTAATCTTATGGATAGAGGACTTGTATTTTAGCTGAATGCAATGGTTTGAAGTTAAAAACTTCTTGATATATTTGTTTCTTGCAAACATGTAGCTTTTCACTTCACAAGACTTTAATTGATGGACTGGAGTGGTGTGGATTACTTGTGGATTATTGTGATGTTTTTATCAGCTGTTTGGACTCTCATTCTGACGGCACCCATTCACTGCAGAGGATCCTTTGGTGAGCAAGTGATGGAATGCTGAATTTCTCCAAATCTGTGTGATGAAGATCTGATGAAGAAACAAACTCTGGCCTGTGGGTGAACCGTATAGGTCAGCTGACACGATTTCTGGGACACTAGAAGTTTATCTGCCTAGAACAGTAGTCCCACCACAAAACTGATGATTTAAACACAATTACTGCTTAAATAACACTTTTTTTGGAAGACTTAGTGTAAGTGCTTTATAAAAAAATTATGGACTTCACATTTCAGCTTTGTGCTTGCAAATTAAACCACATCCCTTCCTCATTTCCAATTTAGCATTACTAACAAAGACCTTTAATTGTTAATAAAAAGAGACAGCAAAAAGGAGTTCCCTTATTTAATGCATGTGGATACCAATTGCTTCTGCTGCATTTTTCGAGCAAATGAAGGCCGATCAGGGCTTCTGCTGATGAGTGTTTAAACTTCGTCACGTCCAGCTCTGTCAGGGAAATTAATGGAGCCCATTCATCTGATTGGAAGGGCATGTGGGAATGAAAGTTTGCCTTCGCCAGCGTTCACAAGCTGAAAACTCGCTCTCTGCTGATTTAATGCAGTCTTTAAACCAGGGTCACCAATTAGTTTTTTCTAATTAAATGTGTGGGAAATTAAGTAACGGGATCAATCAGACCTCTTTTGTCGTTAAAAGAGTGACTTTGATGTGCACGCCGCTGCTCGTTTTCCATGTGGCTTATTTGTATAGAATAAAGCTAAAGGTGGTTTGAGGGGGTTTGTTATTTTTAATCAAACCATAGAAAGGGTTTCTGAGAATACAAATTTAGTGCTTAGCATGGGCTTTTAAAGGCAATGAAGGGATGTTACACATTCCAGCGTTCTGACAACGTGTAACTAAGACATTGGTGGAATGCAATTGTGGTGATTATGATAAAATTGAATCAAACAAGATGACGTTTGTTGTTGTTGTTAGTGCTGCTGGTGTGTGTGTGTGTGTGTGTGTATCTCCAGTCTGCAGTCTACAATGTTGAAGACAGTAAACTGTATGGTCATCACACACACACACACACACACACACACACAAAACAAAGCACCACAGCAACAAACACAACAAAGTATATATAAAGTATACTCTCAGAAAAAAGGTACAAAGACATTCAAATAAAATAATTAAAATACAACAATAATAATAATAATAAAAACATAATAAAAATAAATATATATATATATATATATATATAACAGTTCGTTCTGGTTCTCAAATCTGATTGGTTGAGAACCGTGAGATATTGTACTGGTGTCGCTACAGGAATCAGAAGAACTGTTGTGCATCTCCTAATAAAACACAATAGGTGTTGGACTTGAAGCAGCACTGTACAGACTGTTCTGTGTGTGACATCAAAGTACCGTGACAGCGATTAGACAGCATTTTTAAAATTTTTGTTTTGATGTCAAATAGATCTTGCTGTTTTGCTTTTTTGTTAAAGCAGTGTTGCTGTTGTAAAGTTGTACAGCTACAGTTGTGTTGCTGGGTTTTAAAGCAGGTTTGATTTTTTTTCTTCCTTACTCTGTATTTACAGGATTTCACTGTACTGTATTCAGTAGGTGTAATGTATTCTAAGTTGCTTCAGAAGTATTGCAAGTACTATGTACAACAATAAAACAGTGCATTGACATAAAAAAGGAAATTTACTTTTGGTACTTAAGTACTTTTAAAAGCAAGTACTTCTGTACTTTTACTTAAGTAAAATCTGTCTTTACAACTTTTACTTGTAATGGAGTAATATTTGACCAGCAGTATCTGTACTTTCACTCAAGTAATGGAGTTGAGTACTTTGTCCGCCTCTGTAAAATATATATACAGATCTATACAGATATATATATATCTGTGTTTTTTTATTAAAAAAAAAATGCTGAAATAGTCTCAGCTAAAAGTTCTCAGTAATTCATATATATATATAGGAATGTTATATGAATAGGAATGTAATGAACTGATATTCATTGAAACATTGGCTCAACTACAGCTCTGCATACAATAATGAGCATCAACATTATTCATTTGTTTTGCGTTCCACTGTTATCTCTAAATCAAAGCGCTCCAGTTTGGCCATTAATTGCTTTTCAGCAGTAATTGCTGCAGTCTGCTCGAAAATTAACCGGAGCAGTGCGGCACATTGAAGCTGACGCTCCATATTGTTTCGCAGCGTTTTGTTCTGAGTTTGTGTGTGATTATCTGGCCTGCTGAATGACTCCACACGGCGAGCCCCGTTCAGGCACTTCTGCTCAAGCAGCGCTGCCAATCCACACAAGACAAAAGGCATGCGAATAAAGCAATCTCCCAGAGCTCAGATTGATCGCATCCTCAGCAGCCGCCCTGCTGTTACCCGAGGACGGAGGGAGCGAGGGAGGGTTCATTGACTCTGGACCGAGAGTGAAACGATCCTGCCGTGATGGAACTCAAAATATGTGTCTGTGTGCTTGGGATGTTTGGGTAGTTGCATTACGAAACCTAGCAAGCTGCCTATCTAGACAACAGTTTTTAGGTTTCATGCCTTATACCACATATATCCTTAGCAGATAAAGCACAATACATTTCAACAAGCAGCTCACTATCTTTTGAAATGGAGCGCATGTTTTTTCCTGAGGCACATTCTCATTGTTCCTTTGGTTTCAGCCTCTTTTTTACTGTATTTTCACTGCATTCTTCCAAATGCGCGCGCACACACACACACACACACACACACACACACACACACACACACACACACACACACACATTGATACTCCTACATCTGACCTGACCTTGTCTGCTCTGCAAGTCTTGTGCCGTTTCAGCCGTTAAGCTCTCGCTCAAACAAACAGTAACATAATGACACTTCAAAACCCTTTCCAACACCACGGGGTGCCCTAAAAAAACTCGCCCTCCTTCCTTCCTCTCCGACCTCTCCTTTGTTTAAAGACACTTTTCCACCATTAATATGTAGGAGAGGCGACAGGACTGAAGAATGCTTCAGATTGTTCTAGAACGTGTCCGGTTTGGAAGTGTTCAGAGACGTCCCATATGACCAGGTGAAGGTTTCGTTTAGATGTTTGTTGTCCTTTAAATGTAAGTGACTGTAAAAGGAATCAGATGAAACTCTCATTTTACACCTCTGAGAGAGACTGTACACTTTAACGTTCATTGATAGTATATTGATGCTATAGTATATTGAGTATAATAATTTTTTTGTTCGTTCCTTAGTATCTATCTATTCATCCATCGTTTCTTCTTTAGTTACTTTATTAGTTTCCATCCATCCATCATCCATCCCTCCATCCATCCATCCATTGTTTCTTCTGTAGTTTCTTTGTTAGTTTGCATCATCCATCCATCCATCCATCTCATTTGTCTGTTCAATCTATCACTTTGTGTTTGTCATTCCTTCTACAATTTTATCTGTCTGTTCATTCATTTATTGTGAATTTCAAGCTGTGATATGCCGTTTTACTGCAGACTTGAATATTGTTTGTGGCATTTGTGCACATGATCTCATAAGTGCATAATCTGCATCTAATTATTTTTAATTATGTGATATACAGCGAATGCCTCTGGTCTTTATCACTGAGACTCTGTTTACACATTCCACATGTTAACCACAGTCAGATCCAGCCGCTGGACTCAACACTGACCGCTGTGAATGCTAATCAATGAGACATGACATGATCTGCCATTAAGTGAACCCACATGTTGACCTGTGTAAGTGCAGGCAGGTAGGGGGCCGCAGGAGAGCTACCAAATTCTGCTCCCCCTCATTGACTCTCGCCGTGTGGTCCCCTGATGCAGGGGTCAGATCTGGGGTGTGTGTGTGTGATTTTGATCCACTCGGGTGAATGAGGACCCCCAGCTGCCCTTACAATTGCCTGAGAACAAAAAAGGGCCCTTTTGGCATGAAATCAGATGCCTGGGAAAATATAAGCTCAGCTGAATAGCCACTACACACATTTACACACAACATTTTTCATATATATATATATATATATATATATATGTATATAAAGCTTTATATGTTTGTTTTAGGATAAAAAACAAGTCAGAGTTCAAGTTGAAGCAAAAACAAATGGTGAATTGTTTGTTTGAGGAAATCCACTAAAAGTAGCTGTTATGAAGAAGAAAGATGAGAATGAGTAAAAATAGATGGATAGATATAGTTCACTGTAAGTTCATAAGTAGCCAATCAGATGAGAGAAGGGAATATCTCATAGGGAAGACTAGGAAAGTTCTTGTATTACATAATAAGCTCTGTGTTTGTCTGCAGAGAGGCCCAGTTTTTTGCGAAAGCCGAGCAGTCAGTCTGTTCTGGTGGACCAGAGTGTGGAGTTCAGATGTGAGGCTCAAGGGGATCCCGTGCCCACCATCCGCTGGAGGAAAGAGGACGGAGATCTTCCCAAGGGAAGGTATGAGTGATAAAGCGTCTGGTTAGTTTATATTAAGAACAATAAAATATGAATGGGAAATGCCCAGAAAGAAATAATCATTTCTGTTCTTTAGAGTCGGAACCTCTTGCATGTGTATTTGTTTTTGTACCGTCATCTTCTCAGGCATGAGATCTGGGAGGACCACACACTCAAACTGAAGAGACTGACTTCAGGAGACGCCGGTACTTACACCTGTCAGGCGGAGAACATGATGGGGAAGACGGAGGCCAGCGCCACCCTCACCGTCCACGGTAAGAACACACAAACACACGCTGTCACTCATCTCACGCTGCTTGACAAAATGCTTTGATCCTGCCAGCACTTATCTATAATTTGAAGTAACGAATGCCCTCAGTGGGCGGGAGATTGTGTGTGTGCTTTGACCAGCTTATTCACAGCTGTTAGTTTTTAGACGAATGTTTGCTGCTTTGACAGCTTGTCAGGTTGCTTTGTCCGACTGGATGCTGGATCATTTTGAATATTCCTTATCATTTTTTCCTAGCTGTTAGAAAAAAAAAAACGTATATATATATATATATATATATTTTTTTTTTTTCAAACAGTTAGGAAAAAATATATTTAAAAAATATATATTTCAGTATCTTGTGAGTGGCACGGGATGATTTCTGTAATTTTTCTGACAGAATAATAATAATATTTTCACGCTTTTTGGATAAATTTGGTCAAATTCAGTAAATTTTTATTTAATTTCATCACTAATCGCAATTCATATTTTATCTCAAACTTGCTCCTCACATTTGTTTTCTTGGTAATCAATTTTTACCAAAAATCAATTAATTTTTTTTTTATTAAAAAAAATTGAAATTATGCTACAACTGAGGTACATTCACATTTTGTGTAATGCTTTTTTTTAACAATGTTTTTTAAAATAAATATTTAGATATTGAATTGGGTTATGTTTACTTTTCTCTTTTGGTTTATAATAGCATAGTTTTTTTTAAATAATTATAATTGTTTAATAATAATAATAATTGCTTGTTTTTATTTGATACTTACAATTATTTATAATTTAGTTATAATTAATTAATTTTGCTAAATAATTAGTTAATAAAAAAATACCATCAGTCCCTCGGGCATAAAAGAGGTTTAGTTGTAGAAACAGAACGCACCTTTTACTCATGATGTAGATCCATTTTGTTTCTTCATTTTCACTTTAAGTCCCCTTGAGTGTATTTGACACTCTTGAAGGCTCAGCTCTTTAGAGAACAAATGTCCACATTGCGTCCTGACACCCCTGAGCAGTTTTCTCCTCCTCCTCCTCCTCTCTCCTTTCCTGCTTCACTTATTGCTTTTACTGGTTTTTACTGCTTACAGAAATCGCTGAATTATTATTTTACATGTGTGTTTAGTGGGCCAGCAACATTGGAACCAGACTTATAAACACGCTTGCTTCAATAATCAGTCTGTCCGGTGAAGGGGCTTATTACTAAACTTGCCTTTGGCACAGCATTGCTTTTCAGATGCCAAGGAATGAGATTCCTCAACCATTTCAAAACGATGACTTCTGTTAGAGAAGTCTTTTGTCTGGTTGCTGTTTTGTGGGAATAGCATGGGCTCTGCTTCAAAACCTGGTGAGCTGCCTACCCAGACAGAGTGTTTGAGCATTATAGGTGCATTTGAGCAGTCAAACGATGCAACAAATGATTCATTAAATGATTTGTCAATTCAAGATTTTTAAAAACTGTCTAGGTGTGCAGCGCACTAGAATCTGAGACTCAGTCAAATACACACAAGCACACACAATCTCTGAGATAAGTCATTTCAAATAAGTGAGTCAGTTCTCTGTTAAAAAGCCATGGAAAGATAATGTTGGATACAAACAAGGCCTCTCTCAGCTGGCGATTTAGTCATTAGTGATGTATTTGAGGAAAGTGCTAGAATGCCATGCGAGTCCCAGGAGTAGCTGCGCTAATGGGCCATGGAAACCAAGTAGAGAGTGAGAGCCGCAACCACTGCCAAAAGAGCAAACGGCCTGTCCAAGTCGAGTTCTCTTTACCCAGCTGTTCTCAAATACACCGCTTTCCCTCATTTCTCACCCTTCATTTGTGTCTATCTCATAGGATCGACTCCAAATGGCCCAAGTTATTACATTTAAAGTTAAATTCGGCCTATTTACTGAGCTTGTTTAACAAATGTTCTTGGTTTCATTGTGCGTGATTTCTGTATTCTAACGAAACTTCATAGCATAATCTTTTAACAAAATTTAATTCCCACCCTACTTTATTCCAACTGAATAGTAGGTTGAATTTGGAAATATGTCGCTTTACAGACATGAAATGCTTTGTGAATGCCATTTCATGTTATTTTCAACTTTTTAAAACTGTGTAGGCTACTGGAGAGTTCTGAGTTGCAAAAAAATGCAAAAACATTCGAACATTTGAAAACATTAGAATCCAATATTCAGACAAACAGGTAGCCACGCCCCCTAAAATCATGCCATTGGTTGAGCCAGTGTGTTGTTATTAGTGCTGTCAAACGATTAATCGCATCCAAAATAAAAGTTTTTGTTTACATAATATGTGTGTGTACTGTGTATATATTTATTATGTTTATATACACACACATGCATACACACACATGCATGTTTATATTTAAGAAAAACATTTTGGACAGACAAGACGATCGCGGATGATTTAGTTTCAAAACGCCTGTTTGGCAATATTTTGGATTTTGAAAAGCCTGTTCTGTTGACTTTTGCCGTTTATCTAAGGTGATTTTGGAAGTTTTTTAAAACATTCGTTTCTTATTTAATTGGTTCCACATTGTTTGCTGATTTTGACTTTATTTAAACTTTGTGTCATTTATTTATTTTATTTGACATTAGTTTTGCGAATAAACGTTATACGTTTCTTATTTATTTGGTTACAGTGGGTACGGAAAGTATTCAGACCCCCTTAAATTTTTCACTCTTTGTTATATTGCAGCCATTTGCTAAAATC